GAGTTTTGTTTGTATATTTTTTTACTTAAGCTCTTGTTCAGTTAGTTTTAATTTAGTTATGTTTTTTTTAATTTTGAATTAATTTAGTTTTGTTTGGATTTAACCATAGTTTAGTTTAATTTCAGTTTAGGTATGCAAATTCAATTCAATTTTCAAGGAAGAAATACAATTTTATTTCTAATATGAGGTTTAGTTTTCAAACCGATGTTTAGTGCAGTTCGAATACTAGAAAACTAAACTCATCCCTGGCCTATTCGTGCCATAACAATGCAATGCGAGCACTTTATCCAATGCACAACCCACAATGCAACTCGCACTTTCCATAACGTGAAATCTCGCGACTCTWGCACGTGTGCTTTGCTTGTTGCAAAATGTCGAAAAGAGGTGGAAAATTCAACAACTTCAAAGCCAAAGTGGCCAGGAAAAGAGCTGGCAAAGATGAAGCAGCGGGAGGAGTGATGGAATACATTACCGTCCAAAGATTGGCCTCGCATGTCGAGGGGAGGTATCAGAAGTATGTGAGAATTGGAGCCTTAACTATGGTCCCCCTCGCCTGTGAAACAACACTTTCCAACATAAAGGAGGCATGTAAGCGCTATTTCAAATGTGAAGATATGGATTGTGATATTGTTGCTGGCGAGAGAGGCCCCTCTTGGACCGAGACCTGCCAGATATCCAACTTTAAAACAATACGTGTCCGTTTCATCGAGTATTCAAGTATGTCATATTTGGACTTCCCTTTCTCTATAAAATGCGTCCACAGTTCCAGTCTGCAGTCACTTTTAACAACAAAACAGCGTTAGTATACTTTCMAAAAGAACATCATGTCTTGTATTAACGTTATTATACTGTTGGAAGGATTTCAACATAAACAGTCCCCGTTCTATACACAAAGATCAGCAATATTCTGCAAGGCTCTTGGATCATTACACATCCAAACATTCGAAGTGCCTCCACCAAGTACCAGAGATGAAGAAAAGACCTACAAGTTCCAAAGAGCTTTAAATGACATCGATTGGGGAAGCGAA